TTACCTCCGCCGCCCTCCGAGACACGGCCGGCCGCCCCCGCCGCCCAGGCCGTGCCGAGCGGCGGCCCAGCCGCCCTCTCCGACGGCGCGGGCTGATGCAGGTACCGCCCGGGCGCAGCCTCGTGCGCGCCCCACCGGAACGGCCTCCGCTCCGGGAGGACGAGCTCGATCTCATCGGCGGGCGGTGGCGCTCGGGGCGGGCGCGCGCTGGCGGAGGCGGGCCGCGTGGGCTGCAGCAGCACCTCATGCACGTGCACATGCGGCGGCGCCGAGATGTCGATGAGGTGAAAAGTGACCGCAATGGTAATGCAGGACGCCTCGGCGCCGACGGCGCCGGCGAGCTTGCCCCACTCGAACGGACCGGGCGACTGCACGAACTGTTCGTTCAGACGACCGCCGTCGCTGACGATGCGGAAGCTGATGCCACGAATCTCCGCCGCCAACGGCGAGTCCTTCATCAGCGTCTTGCGCACCTGGCCGTCGGCGCACTGGCGCACGTAGACCACCCAGCGCCGACCCATCCGCTCCTCGCGGACGTCGTGGCCGATGATGAGGTGGAGCACGCCGCCCGGGTGGGCGTCGGGCATGCCCCCACGCGGTCGGCCAAGTGCCAGCTCGACACTCGCGGCCGTTGCGTTTTTTCTGACACACCTGCCTCTGGACCTCCGTTCACGTATCAATCAATCGTTCACGTGCACGAGCTTCTTGAGCCACCCACCCACCCACCCACCTCACGGCCCGGCTGAGGCTTGGAACCACCCACCCACCCCCACAGCCCCACCCACCTCACGGCCCGGCTGATGAGGCGAGAAACCCACCCACACCGACCGACCCCCCACCCCCACCACCCAACCAACCGTCCCGGCCACGGAAGACACAAGCAAGGTAGCAAAGCACCCAGCCTCGCGCGCCTTATACAGCACAGCCAAGGGTTAGGGTTAGGGTTAGGGTTAGGGTTAGGGTTAGGGTCAGAGTACAGAGAGTTCAAGCCGTTGTGCAGCTCCTAAGAACGGGCCGCTTCGGGTCGGAATGGAGGAACCAGCGGTCCGTTGACGCGAGCTCTCGGTGACCATGCTCCGAGTTCTTCCGGTTAGGGTTAGGGTTAGGGTGTGGGGTAGGTTGTTGTCGTCGCGCCGATAAGACAGAGACACGGGCAGCAGACGCGACCCAATCGACGCACCAGAGCATGGTTGGGCGTGTGAGCCGCCATCTTGGACTGTGAGGCGAGCATTTGCCACCGGGAGCTCGCCGCCGCCCCTACACCGCCGCCGCCGCCCTCCCGAGGCCAGATAATAGCCCAAGTCGAAGAGTGCGCGCCGCCCTCGGTATCTGGGTGGCAGGCGGGACTAGAGAGGCACGCCAGAGCACGGCCGGGGGCGCGAGCCGCCATCTACTTGCTTCTTGGACTGTGAGGCGAGTATTTGCCACCGGGAGCTCGCCGCCGCCCCTACACCGCCGCCGCCGCCCTCCCGAGGGCAGATAATAGCCCAAGTCGAAGAGTGCGCCCTGCCCTCGGTATCTGGGTGGCAGGCGGGACTAGAGAGGCGCGCTGGTGCACGGTTGGGGGTGCGAGCCGCCATCTTGGACTGTGAGGCGAGTATTTGCCACCGGGAGCTCGCCGCCGCCCCTACACCGCCGCCGCCGCCCTCCCGAGGGCAGATAATAGCCCAAGAGAAGTCGAATAGAGTGCGCCCCGGCCTCGACATCTCGGTGGCAGAGGCGACCCAAGGGTAGCGACGCACCAGAGCACGGCTGGGCGTGTGAGCAGCCGTGTTGGACTGTGAGGCGAATATTTGTCATCGGGAGCGCGCGACTCTACACCGCCGCCGCCGCCCTCCCGAGGGCAGGAGATAATAACGGCCGCCTCGTCGTCGAGCTCGGCGGAGACGATGGTCGCCTCGCGTTTGAACCCCTCGAGCTGCTGGAGCGGCGTCGCACTCGTCGAGCGTAACAGCAGTCCGCCCTCGGATGACTTGACACTTGTTGAGCGCGCCGTAAGCCGCCCCCGTAAGGCACGCGGCAGCCATCGGGGAGCGCGATCTCGGTCAGCTGGTGCCGTCGTGTGGGTACGGTGCGAGGAACGACATGCTGTGGCAATGACGAGAGGTGTGCCTCGAAGACGTGCGCGAAGAAGGGAGAAGAGAAAACCAGCCTGCGTGACCCCACCCAACCCACCCACCCACCCACCATCCGGGACCTACGATGCGTTCACCCCCCCCCCCCCCCCCCCCACCCACCCACCCACCCACGATCTGGGGCCTACGAAGCGTTTACCCACCCACCCACTTTTTCAAGAACGGCGGTCCAGAGGCACGTGGTCTGAGAAAAAACGCAACGCCGTGGTGGACGACGGAAAAAGAATTTTAAGACGCGTTGGGGATTTACGCAGGAGACTAGGCACACTAGGCATTCCCATCCCTCCCATGGGTTTCCTTTTTCTTTCTTTTAGGACACTAGGCACGGGACTGGCGCGCACTGGCACTAACAGAATTCTAGAGCAGCTGCTCCGCCTCTATATAGCAACCTCGTCAGCCGCGACCCGCGAGAATTGGACGAGAGTAAACTTTCTCTATAGAGTATGAGAGAGATTTTTAGAAGCCAACAAGAAATCAGCTCTCGCAGTGACTTGCACTTGGGCTCGGCCTAGGGCTCGGCAGCTTGTCAACTACCAGCCTTTCTTCTAGAGTATGTGGGATCGGGAGTCGGGTGAGGGTGTCTAGCTGTCTATCTACTATCTATAGACGCTCCTCCCCTCACAGGCCAGCGACCAATCGCTAGCCCTACTTCGACCCTACACTCGCATCATGGCTGGTAACAGTGCAAATGATGAACTAGTTAGTTAGTTAGGAAGGTGAAGAACAGCCAGATGAACTCACCAGCCTAAAAGAAAGAAAGAAAAGACACAAACAAGACGCCCACCCTTGTGCGTCTGCCTCTTCCTATCTCTCTTCGCAGTCCCTCGCCGATTCTCGCTGCAACCTTCATGCAGGCTTGTATTGCACTAGGAATCAACTATGCCTCTATGTGCGGCGAGAATTCTTGTCTTGAGGAGCCTGAGAGAGAGAGAGAGATTTTTGAAAACCAACAAGAAATCACGACTCTCACAGTGATTTGGGCTCGGCAGCTTGTCAGCCCTCAGCCAAAGCTGGGGCCGGTCCCGTAGCCGAGAGAGCCCGCGCCAATGAGTTCGACGCGGTCGGGGGGCCCTGCGGAGAGGCCAGCGAGATGGCGATCGCTATACTTCATGGTGCCCTCGGTGGGGTGGCTGACAAGCCAGAGGTCGATACTCTGGACGACCCATAGGATGCCACGAATGCCTGAAGGAGAGGGAGGCGAGGCCAGAGGCAGGCTCAGCTGCTCTCGGGTGATCCCGCTTTGGTGGCTGAAGGACCCGATGGTCCTGTCACATTCGCGTTCCGAGCCGCGGGGGTAGAAATTTGCGGGAAGGCATCGAGTCAGCACATCCTTGTAGTACAGCGGACCGCCAGGCTTGCCGGCAGCATCCGCAGGGAGGCAGCATATCAGGCGCCAGTCTTCTGGACAGCTTGAGCCTTGACTGCCGCAGCCGCGGTGGCAGAGTCGGCCGCGGTTCGAGCGAGCAGCTCAGCTTTTGGCTGCGGGATCGAATCGCGGAAGGCTCATGCCCTCGCGGAGCGACGCGGGTCGTGCGGCGCGCGTGTGCGAAATGCGACAACAGACGACAGACGACAGACGACTGAGCGCTGAACGACTGAACGACCGTCGCCGCAATCGCCACCGCCGCCATTTTGACGAGCAGCGCGAGCGCGCTCGTCGGCGGCCAGCCGTCGCGGGCCGGGCCGAGCCCGGCCTCGACCGGCCGCGCCGCCGCAGCGGGCCCGGAGGCCCACATGGCGGCCGACCAGCTGACAGGCGCTCTCTTGCTTTTCTTGCTTCTTCTTGGAGCCTGAGCCAGGGGAGGGTTGGGAAGGGGGCGAGGCCGGAGGAGTATGTCGGCCTCTTCGACGGCCCACCCATAAGGGGCCGTCGTCGCTTTGCCTTTTGTTTTTTCCTTTCTAAAAAAAGAAAGAACCGAGCGCATGTGAGGACGGCATGCGTGCTGGTGCCCCAACGCGCTGTTGAGCATCTAGAAGGTTCAAGTGCATGTGGCCGTTTCGCTCGCCTCGCTCGCCGCCTTCGCCGCCACCAGCGCATCCCTCGGGCACGCTCCATCTCCATTTTGTCTCGACAGACCGCGCCGTCATCCTCGGGAGCCTCGCGCTGCTCGTCCTCGCGTATGAGGTGCTCCACCGCGCCCGCCATCCTCCGAGCCGGCCAAGCCTGCTGCGGCGCGTCTCGAGCCTGCTGCGGCGGGAGGGCGCGGGTGCAGTGCCGGCCGCCTACGATCCCCACCCAATGTGGAGCGCGCCTTCCAAGCTGCGGTACGGGTGGACGTTCTTCGCGGCGTTGCTGGTCGGGCTGGTGGCCGTCATCTTTGTCGGCAGCTTTGCGACGGCCCGCGTCGTCTACACCGCCTGCAGCCTCTCCCTGCTCGCCTACCGCGTCTCCTACTACGCCGAGCGCGGCCTCCTCCTCTACTGCGTCGACCTCTGCTACTGGGTCCACCTCGTCGGCCTCGCCGCCCTCTGGCTCGCAGAGCTGCCCGGCGAGTGGGCGCTGGCGGCGCTCGCGTCTGCAGTCGGGCCAGTCGGCGGCGCTGTCTTCATGCTCCAGTCGCCGCTCCTCCTCCACCACCCGGAGGCGAGAGCGCCCCTCCCCTGCCCCTCCCCGCCTCTGCCGCCCGACGCCTCTCCACGCCCGGCCCTGCGCGCTCAGGCGTTCGAGTCCTTCTTCCTGCACGTGGTGCCAACCTGGGTCGCATGCGTGGTGCGCTGGACGCGGATGCCCCGAGATCACCCGAGATTACCCGTCGTTGCCCGAGAGTAGGTCGCATACGTAGTGCGCTGGAGGCTGATGCCGCCGCTTGCGCCGGAGCTGCTCGCGGTGCGCCACACGATCCGGCTCGGCTTCACCTCCGTCTACCTGCCGTGGGCTGCCGCCTACCTCCTCTTTCTGCTTGCCAAGCCGTACACGCCCCTCGCGCAGTACGAGACGCTCTTCGACTGGTACACGAGCTCGGTGGCAGGAGGCGGAGGAGGAGGCGGAGGAGGAGGCGGGTCGGACCCGCCGTCGGGCGCGCGCGCCTTTGTGCGTTACGCGTGGAAGCCGATCGCCTACATCGTGGCGCACGCGCTGCTGTCGCTGGAGGGGTACGCGGCGGCGGCGCTCTGCCTGCGCTGGGAGGCGGTCATGCTCGCCTGGATCGCGATGATCTTTGCGTGCAACATCCTCTACGCCTTCGACTTTTACCGCGCCTCCGCAGACCCCGCGTACCGCCCTGGGAACAAGCTCGTCGCAGGGCTGCGCGATTCCGCCATCTCCTGGGCGGTGATGCTGCCGCTCTGGTACTGCTGCGAGCAGGGCCACCTGTGAACGCTTTGTGTGATGCCTGCTAAAAGTACCTGTGTTAGTGCCAGTGCGCGCCAGTCCCTCCCTTGGGTTGTTCGTTTTTTTCTTTCTTTTTCGGGATGGGAGGACGGCACGCCGCCGCGACGCAGGGATTTTTGAAAAGGAGAGAGGGGTGCGCGGTGATGCGCTAGCCGTCGCCCACCCTTCGCTTGGGGCTTGTGGGCGTCCGCCTCTTCTCCTATCTCTCTTCGCAGTCTCTCGCCGAATCTCGCGCTGCAACCTTCATACCACCTCCCACCTATCTCTTCGTTCGCTTCTCTTGTCGCTTCTTCCTCTGTCGCGTCGCTCTCCTCTGCTCGTCCTGCGACGGCGCCGCCGCCTGCTGCTCCCTTGCTCTCGCTGCTTCTCTCGCCTTTCGTCGCAGCTCTGCCCTCCTTGCGGCATATTTTGGCCCCTCGAGTTTATCGAGCTCTCCTCGAGCAAGGACGACTCTTCTGACGCCCACCGATCATTTGCCGCCAACCAAGTCATATCGTTGCTCAGGTCAACTCTCTCTTCGAACACTTGTACTTCCACAGATGATGTTGGCACTGGGGTTCCCTTCGGGTGTATCGTGACAGCTGCCGACTGGATTACCACAGGTGTATCGCCCTCCTCTGGTTCGTCTTCCTCGGCTTCCTCCCGTTCGTTCGGCTCTACGTTCAGTACGTTCAGCGTGGCTCACCCTCCATGCCGTGAACACAGGCGCTCCCAGTGCCGTGCGAGGTAAAAATTCCACCGATTTTCAAGTGAGTCCTGTAACGGACCATCGGCGCCTGCAGAGCGAGGCGGCATTGTGAAAGAGGCGCTCGGACACACTTGAACGAAACGCATGACCTAGGATTCTTCCATCCAGCCCACTCTTTCCTTTGCCTTTGCACCTGATGCTACAGAGGGCTGGCAGCGAGCTGACGCGGGAGGGAGGCCATCGCACCACCAGGTGGAAGAGAAGCTGCGCTAGTTCTTCACTTCTCTTGGGCCTCTTTCCGGTGGCGCGAGGGCGGAAATTCTCTTTCCAACTAAAATTCTCTTTCCGGTTTGTTACAACTTATCTACGATATCACGTGTATCTAAGAACGAGAAGGGAGCGTGTGGAATGACGCCGTGAACGGCGGCTCGCAGAGGGGCATCGCACGACCACAGGACGTGTCCACCTTTGCCCTGGGGCAAAAGCGAGTCTGAGCCGCCGCGATCATGGACACGCGACGCCGCTGTCCTGCGGGCAGTCCCCCTCAGGCGTCCTCGCCACGCCTCGCGTGCTCACGCTCCCGCTCTCTCGCGAAAAGAAGAAAGACGAGGCGGCGACACACGGCGCCCTGTTTGCCGAGCCGCGGCGGTCCTCGGCTCGCTTCGACGCCGACACCGCTTCGACTGGTGACAGCAGAGGCTCGAGGACCAACCCGGCAGCCCAGCAGCGCTTGTGATGCCGCCCCCAGGAACGGATGCGCAATGAGTCGCGCCTCCCACGCCAACACGCAACCGTCGCCAACCCGATGGCGATGGCGTGCCTTGGCTCGGCTAGCGGCGGGGCAACAGCGCGGCGCGCCGACGGAGCTGCACGGCGCTCGTCTCGCGCCGCCAGCCGACGCATCGCGTCGGCAGCACCACCACGCTCACGCGGCGGATGCCCAGGAGAGAGCCGAATGCGGCCACCGCCTCGCCAGCTGCACACGCTGCCGACGCCGCCTCACGGGCGAGCGGCTCGCAGCGGCTCGGCGGACAGGCCCGGCTCGCCACGCGGCGACAGGGCGGCCTCGCCCTCGTCGCGGCTCCTCTACTCGACGCACGGCGTCGAGCGCGCCACTGCGGCCACGCAGCGGCGCGTCAGGACCGCCGCCCCGACCCTCGCCAGCACGCATCCATCGCCACCCCGATGGCGATGGCGTGCCTCGGCTCGGCTAGCGGCGGAGCGACAGCGCGGCGCACCGACGGAGCGGCACGGCGCTCGTCCCGCGCCGCCAACCGACGCATCGCGTCGGCAGCACCACCGCGCTTACGCGGCGGGTGCCTAAGAGAGAGCCGAATGCGGCCACCGCCTCGCCAGCTGCACACGCTGCCGACGCCGCCTCACGGGCGAGCGGCTCGCAGCGGCTCGGCGGACAGGCCCGGCTCGCTACGCGGCGACAGGGCGGCCTCGCCCTCGTCGCGGCTCCTCTACTCGACGCACGGCGTCGAGCGCGCCACTGCGGCCACGCAGCGGCGCGTCAGGACCGCCGCCCCGCCCGCCGCCCCTCGCCAGCACGCATCCATCGCCACCCCGATGGCGATGGCGTGCCTCGGCTCGGCTAGCGGCGGAGTAACAGCGCGGCGCACCGACGGAGCGGCACGGCGCTCGTCTCGCGCCGCCAGCCGACGCATCGCGTCGGCAGCACCACCGCGCTCACGCGGCGGGTGCCTAAGAGAGAGCCGAATGCGGCCGCCGCCTCGCCAGCTGCACACGCTGCCGACGCCGTCTCACGGGCGGGCGGCTCGCAGCGGCTCGGCGGACAGGCCCGGCTCGCTACGCGGCGACAGGGCGGCCTCGCCCTCGTCGCGGCTCCTCTACTCGACGCACGGCGTCGAGCGCGCCACTGCGGCCACGCAGCGGCGCGTCAGGACTGCCGCCCCGACCCTCGCCAGCACACATCCATCGCCACCCCGATGGCGATGGCGTGCCTCGGCTCGGCTAGCGGCGGAGCAACAGTGCGGCGCACCGACGGAGCGGCACGGCGCTCGTCCCGCGCCGCCAGCCGACGCATCGCGTCGGCAGCACCACCGCGCTCACGCGGCGGGTGCCTAAGAGAGAGCCGAATGCGGCCACCGCCTCGCCAGCTGCACACGCTGCCGACGCCGTCTCACGGGCAAGCGGCTCGCAGCGGCTCGGCGGACAAGCCCGGCTCGCTACGCGGCGACAGGGCGGCCTCGCCCTCGTCGCGGCTCCTCTACTCGACGCACGGCGTCGAGCGCGCCACTGCGGCCACGCAGCGGCGCGTCAGGACCGCCGCCCCGCCCCTCGCCAGCACGCATTCGTCGCCACCCCGATGGCGATGGCGTGCCTTGGCTCGGCTAGCGGCGGAGTAACAGCGCGGCGCACCGACGGAGCGGCACGGCGCTCGTCTCGCGCCGCCAGCCGACGCATCGCGTCGGCAGCACCACCGCGCTCACGCGGCGGATGCCCAGGAGAGAGCCGAATGCGGCCACCGCCTCGCCAGCTGCACACGCTGCCGACGCCGTCTCACGGGCGGGCGGCTCGCAGCGGCTCGGCGGACAGGCCTGGCTCGCCACGCGGCGACGGAGCGGCCTCGCCCTCGTCGCGGCTCCTCTACTCGACGCACGGCGTCGAGCGCGCCACTGCGGCCACGCAGCGGCGCGTCAGGACCGCCGCCCCGACCCTCGCCAGCACACATTCGTCGCCACCCCGATGGCGATGGCGTGCCTCGGCTCGGCTAGCGGCGGAGTAACAGCGCGGCGCACCGACGGAGCGGCACGGCGCTCGTCTCGCGCCGCCAGCCGACGCATCGCGTCGGCAGTACCACCGCGCTCACGCGGCGGATGCGTAGGAGAGAGCCGAATGCAGCCGCCGCCTCGCCAGCTGCACACGCTGCCAGGTGCAGCGGCTCGGCATACCCCATGCGGCCGCCCTTGCGGAGACCATCTAAGGCCCTTGCGCCATCTAAGGCCCTTGCGCCATCTAAGGCCCTACGCCATCTAGTGTAAGGCCCTTGCGCCATCTAATGTAAGGCCCTTGTTCCATCCAGTGTAAGGCCCTTGCGCCATCTAAGGCCCTCGCGCCATCTAATGTAAGGCTCTCGCGCCATCTAAGGCCCTCGCGCCATCTCGTGTAAGGCCCTTGCGCCATCTAATGTAAGGCCCTTGCGCCATCCAAGGCCCTTGCGCCATCTAAGGCCCTTGCGCCATCTAAGGCCCCTGCGCCATCTAGTGCAGGGAAACGGCCCAACGGGTGCGCTCCTGCGGCGCGACAGCGGCCGCGATCCCCACCGCCCCCCGAGGCGGAGCCGGGCGTGGGCACCGACAGAAGCGCTGCAGCTCACTGGCTCGAGCCCGAGGTTCATTCCCTCACAGCGCTCGCGAGCTGCACGCGCACTGACGGAGCGCCCACGCGTGGCGCAGTGCAGGGAAACGGCCCAACGGGTGCGCTCCTGCGGGACACGGCGCGACAGCGACCGCGATCCCCACCGCCCCCCGAGGCGGAGCCGGGCGTGGGCACCGACAGAGGCGCTGCAGCTCACTGGCTCGAGCCCGAGGTTCAATCCCTCACAGCGCTCGCGAGCTGCACGCGCACTGACGGAGCGCCCACGCGTGGCGCAGTGCACGGCGTCGAGCGCGCCACTGCGGCCACGCAGCGGCGCGTCAGGACCGCCGCCCCGCCCGCCGCCCCTCGCCAGCAGACATCCGTCGCCACCCCGATGGCAATGGCATGCCTCGGCTCGGCTAGCGGCGGAGCAACAGCGCGGCGCACCGACGGAGCGGCACGGCGCTCGTCTCGCGCCGCCAGCCGACGCATCGCGTCGGCAGCACCACCGCGCTCACGCGGCGGATGCCCAGGAGAGAGCCGAATGCGGCCACCGCCTCGCCAGCTGCACACGCTGCCGACGCCGTCTCACGGGCAAGCGGCTCGCAGCGGCTCGGCGGACAGGCCTGGCTCGCCACGCGGCGACAGGGCGGCCTCGCCCTCGTCGCGGCTCCTCTACTCGACGCACGGCGTCGAGCGCGCCACTGCGGCCACGCAGCGGCGCGTCAGGACCGCCGCCCCGACCCTCGCCAGCACGCATCCATCGCCACCCCGATGGCGATGGCGTGCCTTGGCTCGGCTAGCGGCGGAGCGACAGCGCGGCGCACCGACGGGGCCGCACGGCCCTCCTCTCGCGCCGCCGGCCGACGCATCGCGTTGAGGGCACATTTGCGGGTGCCTAGGAAGCTAAGCACGACTATTCGCCGCATCGGCACTGCTCCTACCTCGCCAGGCCCCGTGACCGAACGACAACCAAATCATTGCCAAGCTCAACGTCTCTACCTGTGGCGCGGACCCACGCAGTTGCGCGGGCTTCTGCTGTCGCCAAACAGCCAGGCGGCGGGCAGAGCAGGAGCTGCTCTGGATCTCCCTTCCGTCGAGGGGAGGATCGCCCTGTCACAGTTATGCGAGCGACGCCAGCTTGCGAGATGTTCAAACCGAGCATCGGGGGAGTCATTTCTAGCCAAGAGGTCGGGCCGAGGGCGCAAATTGGCAATTTCGTCACGTTTGCGTCACGTGACACTTGGTCCGAAGTCGATCTTGCTTCATGCCACCGGCCGTCAGTCTGGGACTGCGCGCCGATTCTCCGGGCTGCTTTGGTCCAAGGGTCTTCTTCCAATCTACCAAACGGCAGGCGGCATTTCGGGCAACCTCGTACATGCTCGCAAGGGGGTGCAGCCGGGGAACGAGCAGCGCGCCTTCTTGGCAGCCGCTCGGCCCCGACTCCATGTGTGCCATTTGCCGAAGAATTTCAGCCCTATACCAAAAAGCAAGAAGCAATATCGGACGATGGGTTCGCATCCTCTTCACAGCTACCTGGCTACGAACAGGATACTACAGCTTATCTACGATATCACGTGTATCTAAGAACGAGAAGGGAGCGTGTGGAATGACGCCGTGAACGGCGGCTCGCAGAGGGGCATCGCACGACCACAGGACGTGTCCACCTTTGCCCTGGGGCAAAAGCGAGTCTGAGCCGCCGCGATCATGGACACGCGACGCCGCTGTCCTGCGGGCAGTCCCCCTCAGGCGTCCTCGCCACGCCTCGCGTGCTCACGCTCCCGCTCTCTCGCGAGAAGAACCCGCCACCAACCCCTCTCTGCCTCCTGAAGAGTGAGGTCCACACATGCCCAACCACGAGACCTCCACCTACTCCAGTACCTCTGTGTGTGGGGGTGCAGCCGGGGAACGAGCAGCGCGCCTTCTTGGCAGCCGCTCGGCCCCGACTCCATGTGTGCCATTTGCCGAAGAATTTCAGCCCTATACCAAAAAGCAAGAAGCAATATCGGACGATGGGTTCGCATCCTCTTCACAGCTACCTGGCTACGAACAGGATACCGCGGAAGCTCTCGAAAGCTCGCTGCAATCGCAATGCGGCTCGACTCGCTGCCCTCTCGGCGCGCTGCCGTGAGCGCAGCCTTGCTGGCCTCTTGCGCCTCGCTACCGCGCTCGCCGCCTCCAGCCTTTGCTTTCGAGAACCGCCTGCCACCGGACGAGCTGGAGCTCAAGTACAAGCAGCCGCGGACGGCAGGGCCACAGCCGACGGATCTCGGCGTGCGGGCGGGCGGAGCGCTGAAGCCGTGCACCGACGGTAAGCCGCACTGCTTCTCGTCGAGCCCAGAGTCCTTTGACGGGTATGAGGACGCCGCCGACGAGGCAGCTGGCTGGCTCGTGCAGCCCTTCCGATTCGACATGCCGCTGGCCGACGCGGTGGCGGACGTCAAGGAGGCTATCGTGTCTTACCCGCCGGGGCAGCGCGGTATTGACGGAGGCGGCTTCAGGGTGGTCAAGGAGTCGACGTCGGCGCAGGCGGCTTACATCTACGTGCAGTACGAGTCCCGGCGCAAGGGCTTCGTCGACGACATGGAGTTCGCGCTGGCCAACGGCGTCGTCAACGTGCGCACGAGCTCGCGGCTCGGCTACCTGGACATGGGCGTGAACGCGAAGCGCTTCACCTGGTTTGCGGAGCGGCTCGGCGCGCAGAGGGGGTGGAAGACGGTGCCGCTGCGAGCCAAGGGGCACGAAGAGTATTTCGCGCTCAACGGCATCACCGACAAGGATATCATGAGCTCTTGACTCTGACCGGCCATCATTTCTGCGGGAGAAAATCTGTTAGGTCTGTGTGCACGTTTAGTGTAGGTCCAGGCCGTAACGTGTATGTTCCCGGGCATTATAGTCCGCTATATTACAATACCGCCATCTCGGCGGTGGACAGAGAGCGTGCGGACACACACCACGCGCGCCTTATCCGCGCGACACCCCGCGCCCTATCCGCGCTATACTTATCGCTGCGAAATTGCGTGTTATTGTAACTTACGTCCTCCCGACAGCGCGACAGACTCGCCGGGAAACCGCCGAAATTCGCACAATGTCTGGACACACACGCCCGCCACATGACGCCCACCGCCGCCCGCGCGTCGGTCGGCGCACGCCGACGCCGACCATCACCACCGACCAACGGCTCGCACGGCCGTGCGGTGAGCAAAAATTTGGGTCGCTGCGCGCCTGCCGGATGCTCTGCGACGTCTGGACGCTCGCCAGAAACGCCAGGAAGCTTGCCTTCCACCCCTGGGCCCGAGGGCGAACGGCAGTGGTCGGCAGCCTCTGCGACGCTCCGATCGGCTCCTCGACCTCATCGCCTGCGACGAGCCAGCATGGCTCGTCGCTCGACGGCAGCCTGCCCAGTATGCTCTTGGCATTCTGTACAGCCTCGCCAGGCTCTCTGAGACGGCCTGCAGGGCCGGCGCGGACCGCCTGGGATAAACAAAAAGTGATATTGCTTAGACCAGCTTCCGCACCATCTCGATCTCAGCGTCGTCCCGTCGTCTTTGTTGGGCATAGTGGGACTCTGTGAAATTCTCTCGCACGCCAACCGACTGAATGCGGGGTCCGGCGCCGATGCCGATGACGGCCGAGGTCCGCTTTGTCGTCAGCCCAGGTCGCGCATCTTGTGTTCCTGATCTTCAAGAAACAACAATCCGCCTCGTGAAAGACTCAGTCAAACCAGCCCCCCCGGAAGTTGGCCATCACCTCGACGAGGCGCGCAGCCGGCTCCTTGAGAGCCGCAACCAGGTCGCACACTGGTACTCGAGTACGACAATCAAAGAAAGAGCGCAGGTCGTAGACGTAGTTAGTTGTAGAAGTTGGTGCCCTCGTAGCCCGGCATCGCGCCCAGCTTCTCAAAGGTGTCGGCCAGCCCTCCACTGAGGGCGTCGGCCACCGTTTCTTTCTTTTTTTGCACAACAGCGTTGCAAAATTCTTTTTTTGAAGGTAGACGCATCTAGGTCGTACGACCCGCTCAAGTTGACGTGCTCCTCGCGCAGGATTTTGAAAAAAAGAAAGCGCTGGCCTGTGCGCCCCGGCGAACTCGCTCTGAGCCTAGCGCAGCGCGAACCCGCGCACACAAAAGCTAACAAAAACCTCTCTCAAAAGCTTTTCGCTGCAACCCGGCCGGGCAAAACTGAAAAAAAGTTATTGTGAAGAGACGCTATTGTGCGTCTTGGGGCCGGGGTTGTAAAATTGTGTGAAGAGACGCTGCTGTCTATCCCTTTCTCGACTGTCTGAGCGTGTGCGTCTTGAGCCGGCTATTTGTTTTTGTGAAGAGACGCTGTGGATAGCTGGTTTTCTGTTGAGAATCGCCGTACCTCATGGCGTCGACGATCGCCCCTCCCCCTCCGCCCTCGGCGCCGTACTGCTGGGACCTGCCTCTCCCGGAACTGAACCACCTCCACTATCCAAACACCGTCAACTGGACCGTCCCTGCCGATTGCAAGCTGCTCGACGGCTCGACCACCCCCGCCTGCTACCGCGATTGCGACTACTTCGCCGGGTTCGACCAAACGGACCTCGCCCTGCAGGACGCGGAGACGCACGCGCGGCGCTTCCGACCGCCCCACCACAGCCCCAAGTGCGATGAGCCCCTCGCGTGGATGGACGGCACGAACGCATCCACGCAGTGTTGCGCCTGCGGCGGCGGCACGCTGACAGCCCCCTCGCCGTCGCCGCCGTCGCCGCCCTCGACGCCGCCGCCGCCGTTGCCGCCGTCGCCGCCGCCGCCGCCGAGCATTCCCAAGAGTATCTCGTTGCCCCCCGCGCCGCCGCCGTCCCCCTCGCCCCCATATCCGGTGCCGGATTTTCGTCCTGAGGACCAATCAATTGGAGGAGGCGGCGGCTGCAGCCTCGAGTGCGTCGTGGGCATCGCGGCCGCCATCGCGATCTGCGTCACGCTCTCCTGCCTGCTCGGCATGTACCTGTACCTCCGCAACCGCTCCAAGCCCCCCGGGGACATCGAGGCGGACGACCAGTTTGACACCTTCGGCAACGGCAACGGCTTCGAGCCCTCGCTCAAGACGCCGCGACCCTCGGGTGCCGGGGCCCCCGCGTACGTGTTTGAGCCCTCGCTCAAGACGCCGCGACCTTCGGGTGCCGGGGCCCCCGCGTACGTGTTTGAGCCCTCGCTCAAGACGCCGCGACCCTCGGGGGCCGGGGCCCCCGCGTACGTGTTTGAGCCATCGCTCAAGACGCCGCGACCTTCGGGGGCGCTGCAGCCCGAAGAGCACAGCGCCGCGGCACGATTCGAGCCGTCGCTGACGACGACGCGCAACGCGATCCCTCTCTCCGCGAGTCCCCAGTCGAACCAACCTATCACATCGAGCCCGTCGGTGCGCATCATCACCGCGCAGCCACCCCACCCCCTACCCATTTCCCCCTGTCCCTCCCCCCCACACCTCGCCGCCCCCGCGCTGCAGGACCGAGTGTCTGAGGTGGACGCGCACAAAGAGCTGGGCATGCTGGACAAGTGCGCCACAGAGCCACAGAGCAACGTCCCCTAGACCCCCCCACCCCCCCACCCCCCCCCACCCCAGCCACCCGCCCACCAACCACCACCACCACCACCACCACCACCACCACCACCAGGCACCACACCCCCCCCCCCCCCCCCTCGCCCTCCTCTTCACAGGCTGCAGCGGCAGCGCTCCGATCAGATCGACAAGCAGCCGTCGTGGGAGCGCCGGCAAAAGATTGCCAAGTCTCCCAGGCCCTCCCCTCAAGGCTCGAGGAGCCCCTCGACTGGCTCCAAGGCACCCTCCGCGGACGAGCCTTCCGGAGGAACCCTTGGGTTTTCGGCAAGCGGCGCCCCTCCAGGCTACCCATTTCCGAGCCACGGGAGCTGGGAGGCGAGCGTCGAGTCGAAGCAATGGACAACGCCACTGTCTCCTCCCATGAACTGACCTCGCCCGTCGGAAGCCCGTGGGTCTGAAAGACCCTTCGTCTGACGAGCCCCCGACTCAGACGGAGAGGCCGAGGCTGCTGAGTTCCACACTCATGCGGCCCGACCGACGGTGCCAGAAAAACCGAGGATGAAACGGGTCCGCGGGGATTGGGCCAGGGGGCTTACAGGACACGCACCCGAGACCAAATCGGGGTTGACCGAGAGGTGCGCTGCGATCGCACCAGAGATGAGGAGGATGGAGGAGACCGTCGTCGACTCGTCTATGGCGTAGACCGGTTTCTTCCACTGCAGCTGCGGGGGCGGGGGGGGGGGAATGAAGAGGGTGAGGGTGATGTGGGGAAGGGGTCGGGGAGAGTTCATTAGTTGCTCACCTGAGTGGCGAGAGTTTGTGCAGGGTTCTTTGTGCATTGTGGGTGTGGTCGTTGCCTGCGAGAGGTAGTGTTATCGGAAACGGCTCTCCGGGCTCTGATGCTGTGAGCCCCGGACCCTCCCTTGCGAAGCACACTCGCCGGTGTGGAAGGGGGGAGTCCGGAATCGCCGAGAGCAGCGCGTGGGAACATGGCCTCGCGATGGGAAAACTCTTTTGTCCTACTCACTCTTAGCCTTGAAGATGCCTCAACAACAAGCCTGCATATGTGCCGGGCAGAAGCAGTCCGGCGGCCTCGAGGGTACGAAGGTCGGGGGATTCGTCCACCTCACGAAGGCTCCATGTCGGAAGTGGGCCAGGCTTGAGGAGGCCTCCCGCCCGCCTCTCCCGCCAGCCAAAACGCCAACGGCCTCGTGTGTATGTGTGTTCTTGTCCCTCCGCACGTTGTGCGGTTGGGGCTTGGGCTTGCGTGTCTGAGGACTGTGGACTGAGGCTCACTGTGTGTGTGCGACGAGTGTGTATGTAACTCTGTACACTGTAGAGAGAGGAGGCTGAGTCCACGGTCAGGGTGCCGAGCTATTGTGTAAACGCTCCGTAGAGAGCCACCAGACAGAGAGTGGCTCAGCCGACAGTCCCAGGCCCCGGCGGGCCCCAGGTCCCAACTCCAGAGACCGCCTAAGCACCTAAGCGGCCTAAGCGGGGGGGCGCTTAGGGTGCTTAGGTGCTTAGGTCGCCCTCGCGAGCGTAGCTACGTGCTGACATTATCATACGAGTGATCCTGAGTACCCACATGATGTGCCTGCCTATCGCGAAGCACGGGATTGCGGCCTCACAACGCTCACGATCCGGTCGAGCCCTCGAATATCACACGCACGCACGTGGGGTGCCGGGACGGCTCCAACATGTCTCCAACATGTACATGTACATGTCCATGTCAGCGTCGCATGCATCCGCCAGCGCTGCGAACTCCTTGTCCATCCGATTTTTGTACGCGTGCATCGCTGACTTGACCTCCTCCGCATCTACATGGTCCAAGAGATCGCCATCAAAAACCCAAGCTACGGAGTGGAAGCCGCGGTCGTCGGGACCACTGCCAAACCTGCCAGAGACAAGGTACTCCAAGCCCAGCCGCGCAACACGCCGCCGACGCCGCGTCGCCAGTGGCTGAACCACCCACGGGATTCATCGCCTCTGGGTAGCGAGTGGTCTGTACGGCTGCGGTCAATGGAGATAGCTCGTCGATCCTGCTCCTTGACCTCCTCCCCCTGGTACGTCTCTCGCGAGTAGCCCGCAAAGTGCTCCCAATTGGGCGGGTTCTCCCCCCCTTGTGCTACTCGCGGGTGATCGGCCACCACAGTGCGCTGCCGCTTCTCGTTGGGTGACAGCGGCAGTGCCCCTCTCATTCTCTCGAGCCGCTGCTGGGCTCGGTTCAACTGCCGCTCAGCTGCGCGCACATGGGCTTCGGCCAGCTGACGGTCCATCAGCAGCGCCATTGTTGCCGCCCCAGAAGCTTTGGCGCGTTGGCCTTGAAGCCAATCGAGCGCCAGCACCATAGTGATAGCACTCGGATCGGGCTGCTCGTCGATCCAGGCGGCCAGTAGTTCCAGCTCCTCGGGAGTTGCTGCCTGCTGTGGGGGCGGCTGCTCTGGCAGAGTCGCCTCGATACCGGCCTCCGTCAGCTGCTCATTAATTTTTCGCCTCCTGCGCGGCGGCGATGAGGTTCGGCCGATCGCCCTTCGGCCCAGTGACGGCGAACCGCTTTTGCTTGCGTTTTCTCTCTGGAATATTCAACGTCACGAGCACGCCAAAGTCGTTGGGCTTCTCCGCCCTGCCGACCGGCTTCTCATTGACGTGAGTATGCGGCATGCTCCGCAGCTCAGCAAGTTACGACAGGAACGCGTCGGTCGCCATCTGATCTTTGGGTGCCACAGCAGGTGCGGGCGACGACGTGCTGGCCATCGCGGTGCCGGCTTAGAAGGCTGCGAGCGCGGAACGCCAAATTTGAGCGTTTCGAGCGGCTGTTCATGGCGCAAGGGGTACGCAAGAAAACTAACTTTTGAGCGTCGAAGTTACTTCGAAAAGTAAGCTGTTACTTCGAGAGAGCTCGCGGAGAGCTTTTACATGGTGTGTTTAACGTTGTGTGGCTCCCAGGGGTTGCCCGTTTACACGGTGGGGGCCCGGGGCTGGCACCCTGACCGTGGACTCAGCCAGGACTCGGTTTGGGGAGGGCGCGAGTGGGAGAACTTTTCGGCGGTCGTGGAGGGTCGTGGAGGTCGTGGTCTGGCGAGTCATGCTCGTGCGGACAGCATCGATGCCGTCGCCGGACGCGGCGGCGAGGCACACGCGACACGGGCGCCGGCGAGCGGCGTGGCGCGTCGGCAGGCCCACCACCGACCACGAACGGATGCGCGACGAGCGCGCTCGGGAAGCGGCCGCGGGCGATGCGGAGCTTCCGCCGGAGGACGACGCGGTCGAGATGGCGAGCGTCGTCCACGTGCTGGACAGCGTGGCGGAGGTGGGCCCGAACTACACCCTGCTGCTGCGCAGCAGCTATGGGACAAAAGCGTCGAAAATGTCCCAAAAAGCGTGTCATCGCGGGTTTTGCAGCTCCGCAGCCTGCGCGCGCTGCCGGGACGCACCGCTTGCTGGATCTGTGCACTCCCTGGGACCCAGGGAGTGCACAGATCCAACAGGAGTGAGTAGACTCGACGCCGTACATGTACTCGAGATGGAGCTGCAGAAAGTACGCCGCCGAGCGTGCCACGAGCGTGCCACCGAAGGCGTCCCGGCGGCGGTGATGGAGTGTGAGACCTGAGGCTGCGGAGGTGACGCCTGAGGTACCGGCCCGTGCACAGCCAGCGACCGCCACGGGCTCAGACGAGACTTGTCGACTCGTTCCGGCTCAGCTTCACCGTGGTCATCGGGCGTCTGTCGACGTCAGGACCACCCATACAGCTCGCGGGTTTGAGGTCGCAAGAGCCAAGATGGTGGCGTTTGGACATCCCAACCATCACACAAGACAGCCTGTAGGTGGTGGCGGGACGGCGCAGTGTTTGTGGCACTCGGCAGTAGGCACCCGCGGCACGGCCCCGCTGAGCGCTGTCGGCTCTCGCAGGCTGCGGAACCGGCCCCAGAGGGGGACGGTCCGGGCGAGTGTGGCAGCTCCTGCGCTAGTATGGGCACCCTCTATCATAGCACTACTGATCCTGGTCATTGGAGCTGCCAGGGATAGCGTCAGGAGCCGGTAGGAGTCAAAACCCCTCTCATATTTGAGAGAGACATCGTGTCCCCTGTGTCCCATATTGCATAAATACTCTCGCACAACGAGCCTCAGCCTCACAGCTCACGCACCCACAAGGATCAAGGTCAACCCGACCCCCGGCGCCGGTGTCCGGTGTGCGGTGAGCGGTACTGTACGTCGGTGTACGTGGAACGTGCCCCTGTCCTCGAGACTCCGACGCGCGTGTCCCCGAGCGAACGACTCTGGGCAGTGATCTCCTCCGGACTGACACTACTTCTCTCCCGCTCGCCTCGGCGCGGCACGGAGGCCGCCATCGTCGTCGTGCGGGCTCGCCGAGCCGATGGACGATGCGGCTGTGGAGGGCGGCAGCGGTGCGGCGGCGGCGGCGGTGAGTGTGGCGGTGGCCGCGTCGAGCGATACCGCGGACGAGGCGCGCGAGGCGTCTCTCGAGGCGTCTCTCTGCGTCCCTCTCGCTCCTCGCCTCGCCTCCTCCTCCCTCCCATCC